GGTTTATGGGTGTATGTGTTGCAGGTGCTCTTGGCAACCCTATACCTGAGCAATTGGTAGAGGATTTGAAGGCCCTTGAATAAACCCTAAACCCTAAACCCCCGATGAGGGTTTACAGTTTGCTCCATATGATTAAATAAAACCCTAAACCCTAGATTAGGGTTTAGGTCCTACAGCGATTCAATAAACCCTAGATTAGGGTTTACGGCAACGCAAAAACCCTCAAATGAGGGTTTAAGAAAACTCTTCTTTACAGACTAAGTATATGCAAAGAATAGATACAACTAATTTTAGGGTTTAGGGTTTAGGGTTTAGGGTTTAGAGGAAGCAGATAGGAGTATAGGGAACGGTGACACACAAAGGGAAACAGAGACAGCGCCACCTCAGTCTAGGGTTTAGGGTTTAGGGTTTAGGGTTTACATGAGGAGACAGCACAAGAAGAGACAGATGGTAACACGCCCTCCCCATACCCCAAAAAAAACCCTAAACCCTAAACCCTAAACCCTCTTCTATATAAAAAATATACAGAGATATTATTTGTTTTATATAAATAATAAACTTATAAAAAAAGAAAACATATAAATAATAAATATAAATAAATATAAATAAATAAATTATTTTATATATATAAAAAAAAAGGTGTATATGTCTATAGGAAGACTTCCCTTTTGGGGCTTTTTTTGCATGCAGTTATCTTTTATGTCTTTTTATTTATTTAATTAAATAAATAAATAAATAAATTAATAATAATAATTAATAATAATAATAATTATTATTATTATTAATTATTATAAAAAAAATAAGATTATTATTATAATATAAACCCTAAACCCTCATAATAATTTATTTTGTATTAATTTAAACCCTAAACCCTAAACCCTAAACCCTAAACCCTAATTAGAGTCTATTTTGTATTAATTTAAACCCTGAGACCATGAATAGGGTTTGCCAAACCCCTAAACAAATACGAGGAATAATTCCCCGCATTAATGCTGCATAACCCTCTCTTCTTATTATATTATTCATTACCTGCAGCAGCAGCAGCAGCAGCAGCAACAGCAGCAACAGCAGCAACAGCAGCAGCAGCAGCAACAGCACCAGCAGCAGCAGCAGCAGAAATAAACAACAAAGAGCATTAGCTGACGAGAAATAAAAGGAGACAATAAAGGAGACACTATAATTAAAAAATAAATTAAATAAATAAATAAACAAATAAATAAATAAATTAATTAATTAATTAATTAATTAATTAATTAAAATAAATTTACATAAATAATATTTTTTTTATCTTTTCCTTCTGCTGCTGCTGTTTGCATTTCTATCCGCGCAACTTCAAAGGGTTGATTCCATGTTGATAATAAACCACCCTGCAAACCCTAAACCCTAAACCCTAAACCCTAAACCCTAAACCCTAGAAACCCTAAACCCTCAAAAACCCTAAACCCTAATAACCCTAAACCCTAACAACTCTAAAACATAGATAATGAATGGTTAGAGAGATTGAGCAGGTCGTGCTGCAGTAGACAGCTGCTGCAGCAAATGCAGCAGCAGCAACAACAGCAAGAAAAGTTACAACAGCAGCAACAGCAGCAGCAACAGGAGAAGCAGCAGCAGCAGCAGCAACAGGAGCAGCAGCAGCACCACCACCACCAGCAACCTTACAATACATCCACTGAGTAGCTCTTCTGTTACGCTGAGCTTTACACCCGCCATTTGCTGCCTCTGCTGCCTCTGCTGCTGCACCTGCTGTTGCTGCTGCTGCTGCTGCTGCTGCTGTGCTGCTATTTTTTTTTTAAGGAAATAATCCCTGGCTACTTCTGTAAACCCTTGCCTTGATGCCCAATTCGTCATTTGTCTTAATGCTATGGCAGAACCACCAGGATATAAACCCTGCATAAACCCTAAACCCTAAACCCTAAACCCTAAATCCTAAACCCTAAACCCTAAATATAGCATATCAGCACAAACCGTCATATACTCTAAACTCGCTAACTAATGTACAATCTTATCGTCAACAGCAGCAGCAGCAGCAACAGCAGCAGCAGCAACAGCAGCAGCAGCAGCAACAGCAGCAGCAGCAGGAGGTATAGATATATATATAATACCCTAATTCCTTGTGAGTGTATAATATCAGTAAATCTTTGTTTAATGCTAAACCCTTGATTAGTGTTTACTGCAGCAGTAACAGCAAATGTACAAGGACCCATGACGAGGGTTTGGCAAACCCCTCCTCCTGCTCCTGCTATAAACCCTGATAAATTAGCGGATACACCTAAAGATATACATATATTCATTATATTCTCCTGCAGCAGCAGCAGCAGCAGCAGCAGCAACAGCAGCAACAGCAGCAGCAAAAGCAGCAGTTAGGGTTTAGGGTTTAGGGTTTTGTGATAGGAATGTAGGGTTTACAGTTTAGGGTTTTAGGATTTTACGGCAAGCAATTAGGGTTTGCCGTTTCGTGTATTCATGACTTAGGGTTTAGGGTTTAGGGTTTTTCTAGGGTTTAGGGTTTAGGGTTTAAAGTTTACCTTGGTATAGAGAAGGACAGCCCCCTCAGAGGCACTCTCTATTAGCTTCGGTCTTGTGCCTACCATGATGAATTAGTGTTTAGGGTTTAGGGTTTGGGGTTGAGGGTTTAGGGTTTAGGGTTTAGGGTTTACCTTGCTATAGAGAAGGACTGCCCCCTTGGAGGCATTCTCTATTAGCGTTGGTCCTGTGCCTACCATGATGAATTAGTGTTTAGGGTTTAGGGTTTATCTAGGGTTTAGGGTTTAGGGTTTAGGGTTTACCTTGCTATATAGGAGTACAGCCCCCTTAGAGGCACTCTCAATTAGCTTTGGTCCTGTTCCTTGCCAAAACCCTCTAAACCCTCGTAGACGTAATATTGAATTAAATGCCTCAATTGTGCTCTCGTTGCGGTGTCTGTATATATAAACCCTAAACCCTAAACCCTAAACCCTTAATACTACACAGTAGAGACTAAACGCAACAGATGCGGCGGAGCAAGACAAACAATTCAATGGTAGCACGCCCACGCGAAAAAAAAAAATAAACCCTAAACCCCAAACCCTAAACCCTAAACCCTAAACCCTAAACCCTAGCTTACTTTCCCATACGAGTCTTCCATACTTCAAAGGGCATTCCTAAAGTCGCTGCCTCCACGCATTGTAACACTGCTCCTGCCCTCCAGCACCAGCCAAACCCTAAACCCTAAACCCTAAACCCTAAACCCTCGGCTCTAGTTTACTATCACCCACAGAAGGTATTAGGGTTTAGGGTTTAGGGTTTAGGGTTTAGGGCCATGGATTCGCTCACCCTTCACCAAATCCGACGCGCCTCCTCCCTTCTGTTGACCCATCCTGAGGGTTTAAATTTTTAGGGTTTAGGGTTTAGGGTTTAGGGTTTACCGCCCTTTGGCGAGTGTATTCAAGACCTGTATGCACACTTGGAGATGGACCTCCGCCCAAACCCTAAACCCTAAACCCTAAACCCTTAGTTTATTTAGAGTTTCCTCCCACGATATAGCTATCTCCCTGTTCCGTTGAAGCCCCTCCTCCCCTCCTTGCTGCTGCTGATGAACCTGCTGCTGCTGCTGCTGCTGATGCTGATATACCTGATGCTGTTGCACCTGCTCATGCTGCTGTTGGCACAGCTTCTTCCTAGCTGTTGCTGCTGCAGCTTGTGTTGCTGCTGCTGCTGCAGTTGCTGCTGCTGCTTATGCTAGGCACAGCAGCGAATTTACTGCTGCAAGTGGCTTGCTCTCTTCTTCCACAAACCCTAAACCCTAAACAACCAAACCTGAACACTAAACCCTAAACCCTAAACCTTTAACAACAGGGCTTTGAGGGTTTACGTATAGCAGTGAGCCGCTGGGCAGCTCCTCTAGTGCACGGGAGGGAAGAAGCCTAAACCCTAAACCCTAAACCCTAAACCCTAAATAATGCTAATCCTGTAGAAAAACAAAGAGAATAAATACAGAAGACGACGAAGCATTTAAGAAGAAACCTATAACAAAACCCTAAACCCTAAACCCTAAACCCTCAACTGGTACCACGCGACAACACCTCACTGCCATGTCTCGTGCACTGAACTAGGGTTTAGGGTTTGTGGTTTAGGGGTTAGGGTTTAGGGCTTATCTCCTTTTTTTATTATATATTTTTCTTTTCCTTTATTTCCTCCATTCTTTCCTTAGGGTTTCAATTCTGCTGCTGCTGCTGCTGCTCGTGCTGCTCTTGCGGCTGGTCCCGCTCACCGCAGCCGACAGCAGCAGCAGCAGCAGCAGCAGCAGCAAAAGCAGCAGCAGCAGCATTTCCCTCTATTGGCATTGTTTATATATCCATATTATGGAGGCCCAGGGAGAAGCTCAAGCAGCAACTGCTGCAGCAGCTGCTAGACACAGCTTTATCGCTGCTGCTGCTGCTGAAGGAGCAGCAACAGCAACAGCAGCAGAAAGCAAAGCAGCAGCAACAAGCTCAGCAGCACCAGCAGCAGCAATAGAAGCAGCAACTGCTGCTACTTCACAGGGTCTCCCCGACCCTTCAGGACAGGCATGTGCAGGAACGTCTGCAGCAGGAGCAGCAGCAGCAGCAGCAGCACCGACTGCAGCAGCAGCAGCAGCAGCGACTGCAACAGCAGCAGCAGCAGACCCACCCGAAGCACCATCAGAGGCTGACCGGTCTCCAGCATCAGCAGCAGCAGCAACAGTTGCATCCACAGCACAAGACACAGCAGCAGCAGTAACAACAACAAGAGCTGCTGCTGCTGCTGCAGCAGCAGCAGCAGCAGCAGCAGCAGCAGCAGCAGGTGTTGCTCCCTTTGTATTAGTTAAGGATTTGCTGCCACAGATGGGCTGCTGCTGCTGCGTTGTTCGCATACTAGGGTTTCTTGGGCATAGTACTTATAAACTCCCGTCAGGTAAACCCTAAACCCTAAACCCTAAACCCTTCTGAGTGTGGGGAGGGTTTGCACTTGGGAGGAGGAGATATAGAGCGGCGGGTAGT